GCCTGCCATGAGGCTCCACGAGACCTGAGTTCTGCAGACCTCGGCATCAGGCTGTGAGCTGGTGGCAGCAGGTGACCCAGTGTGTCTTTAGTGGAGGCTTTTTGGAAAATTCCACTTCAGGCGTGTGGTGACTTGGAGCCACCCCCAAGGGCTCTCTGCTTTCCTAGTACTTGAGCCTGGAGGCCTCCAGTATCTGGTTCCTCTTTTATCTTTTGATTTCTTTGGTGCATTATAGCTCTACATAGTAGCTGGGTTCATTTTGACATAATCATACATGTTTGGAATATACTCCAATTCAGTCCCCAGGAGCTCCCTCCTCTCCCTCCCCTACCTCCCCCTTCCCCCTACTCCTCCTCTTCTGCTCTTCTGGTCTACCTTCCACTCATTTATATAATTAAAAAAAATATTTTATTCATTTATTTATATGCAGTGCTGAGAATCGAACCCAGGGCCTCTTCACACATGCTAGGCAAGTGCTCTACCACTGAGCCATGACCCAGCCCCTCATTTATATAATTTAATTGGTGCTTTGTAGATATACATAAAGATGGAATTCACTGTTATATTTATACATGCATGCAGTGTAATTTTATCAGTAATTCTGCATTTCTTCTGCTTTCCTGTTCCTCCTCCCTCCCTGTGTCTGGTACCCCTTGAGGATCAATGAGCCATGACCACAGGAGATCCAAGTCCTCCCCCATTCCACTCCAGGCCATAGCTGCAGGCTTTGGAAGACCCCTTTCTTTCATTGTGACTTTTTCTTCTAGTCAACCACTTGGGATGCTCTGGAATGGGTGACCTTAGGTTGTGAGCCAGCCCTACCTGGATCAAGGCCCTCAGTAACCTGAGATCATCACAGGGTACCTAGGACAGTTAGAAATGCAGCAGAGATGGAAGGTCAACCACACCACAGTGGTAGGACTCTACTGTCCCCATCCCCAATAGGAGCAAGTGGTAGGCCTCACAGAGATGACAGCCCCTGGGACTGGAGATTTCCCCAGCACAGGGCTCCCCTGGCTTAGCTCAGGACTCTGATGACAAGGCTGAGAGTCTTCATTCCCTGGACCCAGGTGGCTGTGCTTATTGGAGTCTTTGGTCACCCCAGCCAGCTTACTAGCACATCTTCCTTATGAATGCAGCATATGTTTGCTGTGGGGAAATTTTAAAGTTACCAAACATACATGGGCAGAAGATAGGCAGCTATGCTCACATATTCCGTTCGACATTTTTCCTGTGGATGGTGTTTCAAATCCTTTGATTATACTCAGCAGTCTTATAATTTAAACTCTTCTTCTGGCCTATAATACATTCTTTATGATTTTAAAATACATTAAAAACTTTTTGACACACACTGTGCCCTATAAATATGTATATGTAAATTTATATTATGTATATAGTATATACAATGTAATAGATACAATATTCTATTGTACATATTTATAGGGCACCAGTGATATTTCAATACAGATCAGGTAACTGCCATATCATCACCTCAAATATTTGTCATTTCTTTGTGTTGGGAACATTCAAAATCTTCCCTACTAGCTACTTTTAAATACACAATTGTTCTCAACCGTAGATGCCCTACTGGGAGCTACAGAATGCTGAATTATTCCTAACCAACTGCACTTCTAAAGGTTTTATGATGGCTGCATTTGTCATTCTATTTAGTCAGTCTTCCTGCTTGTTGGACACATTATGTTCATTTTATTGTAAATAACACTGTGGTGACCATCTTGTTAGAAGTTTCTGCCTGAATTTGGGGATGATTTTATAAGGCTCATGCCCATAAATATGTCACTGGACTGAAGGGATTCTGTTGCTGCTTCTTCCTTTTAGGAATGTGCTGTTTCTAGGAGTTCTGCTTCCATACATTCGCTGCTTTGAATCTCCTGCAGGCTAGGAAATAGACACCCTTGTTAAAACTGAGTAAAACTCTAGTTAATGGCCGGGTGTGAGGGGCCAAGGCGGCTCCTATAAGCAAAGTACTGGGCTTTGTGAGGTAGATCCTCCAAGTCTGGGTCCTTCTGGGTCCATTTCTGGCTGTCTCCTATCCAGAAATTCCTAATACTACCCAATTTCCAGAACCAATCAGAGAAAAGCAAATTCTAGGGATTGTGTCCTTAAAATGAGTTTTCTGATGAGGTTCTGACAGCCCTTGGACCAATGGGAAGCTCTTCAGAGACAATGCCCCAATGGCCTCTGTCCTGGGCATGGGCCCAGAACCACGTTGAGTCCTAGCGAGTACGGTATGGGCCCAGAACCACGTTGAGTCCTAGCATGGAGTGTGATGCTGCTACTAATTTTATTCATGCTGTGGACCCTGGTGGCTCAGAACAGGAATCTGGGTGGGAAGGAGGATGGTGAGTGGGTAAGACATTGGTTGTGAGACCTGGGTTGAATGGCTTTGCCTCCCAGCCTGTTTCCTCACCTCCAAGATATGAGTCACTGCCTCAGCTTGGCAGGTTATGAAACTCGACTGTATGGCCAGCACAGTCTGGCACTTGGGCTGACACTGGGTGCAGACAAGGCATGAACACGATCCCAGTCAACACCTATGGATAAAGGCCACATCTAGGGGCAGGGAATAAAGGGCACAAATATGTGCTGGGGAAATGAGGTCCCTCTGGAGAGATGAGGGGCGTGGCAGAGGCCTCCAGATTGTGTGCTGACATCCTGCCCCACTCAACCACAAGCCCTTCTGTCCTTCTCTCTCAATACTCATTGCTGGAGCTCTGGTGCCCTGGCTTGCCTCCTGAGGTCTTCCAGACAACCATTTTCCTTAGAAGAGGACAAAATTGCATATATAAATGTACATCTGTCTGTCCTGGGAACTCTGTGAGGGCAGCAGTTGAGGCTGTGGACCACTCTAGTGTCCCCAATGCCCAGCAGGTGCTCAGAGATGGTTTCCATGGACATTGGACATCCCAGGAAAGGCATCCTCACTCCTCTGAGGGAGGATGAGGTCAGGCTGGAGGGTCTCTCCTCATGGTGGTGAGTTGGCCAACATACTTTCTCAGTGCTGCTGGGGGCGGGTGGTGCTGTCGGGACTCACTCAGAGGTGTTTTCTCGGAGGCAAGGGGCAAGCGGGGAGGAACCGAACTGCTGAGAGGTGCAGGGCTGTTTGCTGTTTTTGATTTTGTCAGACTCAAGTCATAATGAGACTGCATCTAGCAGACATGTGTACTCTTACGACAAAAGGCAGGACACGGGTCAAGTCACAGGGCCAGTGTAAGTGACCATGGACTCCCAAGGAGAGGCTCTGAATCCTGGCAGCAGGCTGGTGAAGGTGAGAGCAGGGCAGACAGAGGGCGCCAAACACAAACCTGTGGACCACAAACTTTAGTTCTAGATTCCTGACAATGGCCGTTTCTTGTCACTGTAGCCTTTTAAAACCCTGAGACTCAGAATTAGGGGTGGAAGGGAGCTGGGGCTCATGGAACACCATCAAAGCAGGCTTGCTCATCCCAAGTATCAGTTGTAAGAACTGAGCAGGGCTGAGGCAAGTCTGTGTTCCTGTTAGTGCTCAAAACCAGCTGCCAGGTTATTGTTTTTGCTTAAACCACCAGAAATTTAAGCATTTATTATGCACCAAACACTGTGAGAAATGTCTGTGAGGCCTCTCTTGCATTCTATTGAGACCACATTTTCAAATCTCCACTCTCCTGCCAGGAGACTAGGTACTGAATTTTTAGAACTCTGACCTGGGGAAAAAACACAAGTTAGGAGTTCCCCGCCCATCCCTAAGGACAATGGCCCACTGCAAGCTTTCAGACTTCCTATCCCGAGGCTGGTCTTTCATCCTCCCACGGATTCAGCTGTAGTCTCTGGAGTTTCCCCTCTAGTAATTATTCAAGCTATGAAAACCCTCAGGACTCCTAATATAAACCCACGCCTTCCGGCTCCTGCCACTGAAGTCTTTGCTCTTGCTATGATGTCCTTAGGATCTAATTTCAATCTAACAAATACTCAACTATCCAGTATTTGCCAGGCACAGGGAAAAGAGCAGCAAATCAAATAAGCTCGGTTTGGCTCAGAGCCTATATTCCATAGGGGGGATGAGAATCAGTTACTTGTGAGATTTCCTACACACTAACTCAGTTAGGGCCTCCGTCTCTCTCAACGTTGACCCGTCAGGAGGACTTCTCTGAGCCATTTCCCACTCTGTTAAACGGACTTGATCATAGATTGCATCTCTGGAGATTTTGCAACGCTGAAGCAAAATAGGGCATATAAACGTTAGGCCAGTGGTCCCCAAACTTGTCTGCACCTAACACAGCTTTCAAAATGCATTTGCAAAGTCTATTGCAAACCTCCGGAGGCCACTGGCATGCAGCGCTTTGGAATTTCAAAAGACTCAGGTTTAAAAAGCAGACAGATTTGGGAATTAAGTCAGGCACTGAGTGAAAGCGCAAAGAGCGAGCAATCAGAAAAGCCCGTTTTACAGATTAAAAGGCTAAGGGCGGGCGGGGAGGGTGCCAAAGCGCAGTTCCGGAGCCACAAACCCCGGACGTGAGGCCGGGTCTTCCACACAGACCACCTTTTCTCCGCTGGCTGAGCCCGGCCATCACTCCCACACACCTGCAGGGAAAAGGCTCCCATCGATGCGCTCCGCCGCTCGGCTCCCCACGCCTGGTCCTTGCCCGTTCATGCCCCTTCCCCCTCCCGGCCGCTTCCCACTTCCAAGATGGCCGCGGGTGGAGCCGATCAGGTAAGGGCCCCTGTCGGACGCCTGCGGCGGCTCTGCAGACACAAAGGGCCTCTCAGAGCTCTTTCGCAGCTCCGTTAGGCCCTTGCAATAGAAAAGCGCCGGGGATGCCGCTCTGGAGGTCGGAGGCTGCTGGACCGACTGGCTTGGAGCTCGCAACTTCGCAGAATCCGCGGTGGGGGGCGACGGCTCCCGCAGAAGAGCTGACGCAGTCCGGCAGGGGGCGTGGTGACGGGGCGCGGGGCGTGGCGAGAGCGCCTGGGGGCGTGGCGATAGCGTGCCGCTGTTGGCCGCGGGCAGCTCGCGCGCACCTGCCTGGGATCCGCTGCCTGTGGTGCTTCGGCCGCCCTGGCCCAGCGAGTAGAGGGTCCCGCCAGGCTTGGGCTGCGGGCCCACCGGCCGGGGATGGCGTCGCAGCTGCGCTGACTGCGGTACTGAGGGCTCCGCGGGGGCCGGGCCGTGAGGGCGGGCGGGCGCGGGCCGCTGCCACCTGCTGCCGGAGCGACGCTGCCCGAGGCGCGGCGCTGCCCGGACACCGCCGCGCCCCCTTCTGCGCGAGGGCTGTCCGGGCGCGCGGCAGGCCCGGTGGGGGCGGCGCTGCGGCCCGCGGGGAGACCCTGCGGTGACTCGCTCCTCCTCCGGAACTTGGCGGAAAGTTTTCCCCTCAGACTCATCGCTCCTGCGCGCCCGGCAGAGCCGGCCGCTCGGCGCGCAGGACCCCTTCCGGGAGCCCCGGGGCCGCGGAGACCCTGGCCGGAGAGTCCTTGCGGTGGGCGGCTGGGAGGCTGGAGGCCGGTCGCGTGTCCCAGCGGCCCGCTATCCAAGCGCGGGGACGGGGCTCTCTCCTGCAGGAGTGTGTCAACGCGGTGGGGCGCGGCCACCGTGAGGACGCTGGCCTGGAGGCGGGCTGACTGGCCCTTGTGGATTCCAGAGTGAGCCCAAGCAGCGGGCATTTCAGTGACCATTTCAGCGACTGCTGACTAGGCTGCTTGAAACCATTTCTGTCTTAAAGTTGCATAGAGTACCGTTTTCTCCCGCGTAAAATTGGAAGTTGCTTTGGAAGGTTCTGTAGACAACCATGAACTTTGCCGTGACTAAGGCCACCAGGGAGTCACCATAGTGTCTTGGGGACTGAGCATTCACCCTTCTGCCCTGCCCCCAATCTGTAGAATGTTAGTACCTAGTTTTCTTGGCTTTTTTATTGGGAACGGATTGCCTGCTGGGCACCGGCAGGTGCTTTGCAGGAACTGGGCTGGTCTTTACAGCGTAACTGGAACACTTCCTGCTGACCAGCTTATCAGGACAGTACCAACCCAAGTCTCAAGTTTGAGTATGGCTTCTCCCTCCAGCTCTCTTAACTGCCTTCTTAGTTTTTGTGTATTTTAGACCCTTGAGATTTTGAGCTCCACACTCTGACTGAGACCCAGCTCTAGGGAACCTGGCTTGTAGCTGTGCTCATGCCAGGACACACCCTTTGGGAAATTAGAGAACTAAGGTTAAAGATTGATCTGCTTGGCTTGTCACTACATTGTACAGGTGGGGAATTTGAGGTCCAGAGCGCAGTCAGAGCTGTGCAGCAGGTGCCAGGAGAAATGTTAGCAACAGGAAGAAGCTGGAAGAAGCTGTACCATGAGGCTTCCTATGCACAGAGTGGCTGTTTCTGGGCTTGCTTATGCAAATGTGTTGCTAAAATAGTGGGGCTGAGTTGGCTGGCCCTATCTGGTGCCCAGTGAAGAATAACACCAGCCAACAGCTTCTAGGCTTAGCTCATGCCAGGCATAGTTCTAAAGACTTTATGTGGGTTTCTTCTCCTAATGTTGTCAGCTGCCTAATGAAGTAGGTCTAGTATTGTTCCCACTTTGCTACAAGGAAACTGAAGCACAGGGAGGTTAAGAAACTAACCCAGAGTCACACAACTGGTAGGTGGAGGAGCTGGGAATTTAACCCCAGGCAGTCTACTTCTAGAGCCTGTGTTATTTTTCCCTTGCTTATTTTTAAAAATTTTCTGTTGAAATCTAACATACATACAGAGAAATATAAAACTTGATTTCATTTTATTGATTGTCACAAACTTTAGAGCATATATTCTTAAGTACTCCACAGGTCATGTATGTATGGGCTTTGGTGTAGACTTGGTCTGAGTCCAGTTTTCTTTGCTGTGTGATCCTGAATGAGATACTTAGCCTCTCTGAGTCTGCTTCTTCAGTGTTCTTGGCAGGCTTGTGATGATTACAGCACATGATGGCCCCTAGCCATGAATACTACATGGTAAATGCTCAGTGGTGGTATATTAACAATTAAAATTAATACATTATGTTGCCTTTATTAGGTGGTCTGAATATCTTCTCAGCCTGTTGCCTTCCAGTTACTTCACAGGTACTTATGACAGTTGGGTTTGGTCACTTTCTAAATGTGGCTGAGACATTTTAGAGAAGAGGGAGCAGTCCATATGTTCAGTCTCCTTAATTTAAAGTGTCCCACTTTTGACTTTTAAACATAACCACCTGAGACCTGTGAAGTGTCTTGTCAGGGCTGTGAAGGAGCCTTTGGGGACCCTCAACAGTTTAACCCTTTTTGGCATGGTGTACTGAGTATTCATGGATGAAACCTGTTTAAATAGCATCTTGGAGGGTACCTGGAAGTTGCCATTCATCTTCCAGAGGTATCTAGGTAATTTTTTAAGAATTATTTTTATCTTAAAGAATAATGCATTTCAGAAATCGCAGTTTTTGTGATTTGTCTTTCCACTGTGCATAATGCACACTGGACACTGTTGGTTCCTTTAGGCATCGTGCCTGATGGTGGAGAGTGAGCACTTACAGTCAGCTTGGGCTAGACCAGCACGGCTGCTTTATCACATGTCCCCCTCAGACTCAAGGCTGTGATGTGGTAGCAATACTCAAAGCTCTTTAGGTGGTGTTAGAGGTCACCTAGATCATGGGTATGAACATTGAGCACAGGGCCCCATGCGTCACATGTTCCTGGAAGGCAGAGCTAGTGTTAATTGTTCATGTAGAGATACTGAGATCTAGCTCTAGCCTGGTCCTTTCTGCCTCAGCCAACACTTTAATTCAAGAATAGAGACTTGCTGCTGGTTGGTGCCTATGAGCCCTCTACACAGCAAGTGGGTTCACATGGAGGTGGCACACACTGTGGTTCTCCTCATGTCAGAGGCTGATCATTTCTCCTGACTGGTCCGTGCCTGGGGTTGAGCTGCAGGCCTGGTACAGCAACCATTCCTGGGAGAAAGCTGACAGTGCCACCAGATTTTTTCCCCAGGAAACACAGAGGACCCCCCAGAAGCACATGTTGGGGACAGAAGACTGGCTGGGGGAGCAGCGGGGAGGGGCTGCCATGAGACCCGGAGTAGGTCACGCATCTGGCTCATCTAGGTGGTGTTCCCTGTGTGAAATGCAGTCTCCTGTCTCCCCTGTGGCCATAGTAAGCTCTGGAGGAGGTGCCAGCTGTCTGCATGTGGCCTTTGTAAGCAGCAGAGCTTCCAGGGAGCCAGGGAATTACAGACCTGGGGTCCAGTGCTGACCTTGGCAAGTCACATGCCTCAGTTTCCTTCTCTGTGCAGTGGGGATAATACTTAGCTGATGGGGTTGAGCCAGGATGGTACATTCAGAGTTGAGAATGAAGCCCAGGACTCATCAAATTGTAGTTTCATAGTGATAACTGGGTGTGGTGTCTGATGTACAGTCCTGTTCCTGTCTTCCTGCAACTTTAGCTCTGGGAATTGTATGCCCTTAGGCCATGACTGAGTAGAGATGGTTTGTGTATGCTAAAGAATGAGGATCTGAAAATTGTGCATGGCTGGGTTGGAGGAGTCTCTGCAGCCAGGGTAAGTCCTCTCTCCTTTGAAGGTCAAAGTGAGCAGTGCGGCCCCTTGCTGATGGGGTTACAAGCAGATTGATCCCCTCAGGACCATCCAGAGAGGAGCCTAGAACAGGAAGGACTGCTCAGGGCATGTGTCCTGGGCAAGGTGCTAGAAGACATCAGCACATTTGGCAGCAGGCTTCTCCCTGAAGCTGCCCATGAGTACGTGTTTTTCCCTTTGAGGACATAACTAAATCATTTGGTTTGGGTTTCATAAATGGTTTTTTATTTATGCAGACTTTCATCAAGACCTAGTCTCACTGCTTTTTAAAGAAAAGAAAATCAGACTGTTGCTTCTAGGTGGGATTGCTTCTCACAGCCCTGTCCAGAGTCGCCCGTTGTTCCAGTCCCTCAGGCAGTTTTCCTTTTTGCTTTGTGTAGAGCTCAATGTTGGGGCAGGCACATCAAATTCAGATGGCCTTGCTGAGTGGAATAAAAACAGTCTTCCTCTTATTCACATTTCACATCTTGCATGTTTTTTTCTTGTCCGGAAAGTGATTAATCATTGTTAGTCCTGTGTTGAGTGCCTGCCTCCCTGGCAGGGACCGCTTCTTCCTCCCTGAGCTGACTGAGCTGAGGTTGCTCAGGCCACCGTTGGTGCTGCTGGGAAGTTAAGGATGTGGATTTGGGAAGACAAATGTGATAGGAAGGATTATGTTTCACTTTCCTGACCATCCAGTATGGACAGTGGCGCCTCACTGTCAGGTCTGGTACCCAACGCGATGTAGGCATGGATGGCCATAGCTTACTTAGTTGCTTGTGTCTGTTGTCTGTGCACATTGTCAGGAACCCCATGGCAAGGGTTTTCTTCCTCCTGTTGCTGCTTCTAGTGCTCATCTTGTTCTTGGAACATAACCCAACTCTCCACAGAGGTTACTTGGTTGGGACTGTCCCTGAAACATGCCCACCAAAGAACTTAGCAGTTAGTAATATTTAATTCAGCAAGTAATCCATGCTAAGTTTTTGGCAATGCAGTGGTGTCTAGAAATGAGAAAGACTATGCCTGCCTGAAACTTGGAATCCATTGAAGAGAGACATGAAAAAAGGCATAAAATCTAGTTATTTTAGGTGGGGTGTGGCCAAAAGGATTCAGGAGGAGGGAGGTCCTGTAGCTCTTGGGAGAGATGGGGAGGGCTTTTCAGGGGAGGTAGACTTTGCAGGCAGTGATAGAGTGGCTCCTTGTGCCACATACTGCTGGAGCCCAAGAACCCTGGTGGCCTGGGTGGGAAGAGTGCACTTGAGAGCGGTCCCATTGCATGTCAGGGCCGAAGATGCTGGTGCACAGGAGGCAGAGCCTGTGGGGAGACCATTGCTTATTCAGGCTGTCTGTGTTTAGAATGCATTTGACTTGGAGGCAGGCCATTTGCCTCTGGCCACCTTCCAAAGTCCACCCTGTAGCCTTGTCTCAGGCATGTACCTTGTTCATACAACCTGTCCCTTGTGTGGCATCAGCAATAGGCAGGTGGCCTGAAGTACAGCTTCTGGTTTTATGGCACTAGGTAGAAAGGATTGAAGACAGCTGGCCTTGGTCTTACTGTGTGTTGGAAGAGGAGATACCTTTCCCTTTTAGGTTTATTTCTCTGAAGACCAACACTCTGTTCCTGAGGTTTAAGGAACTTAACCCAGACTTGGGACCAGTAGAGGCCTCAAAGGTCTCTGGACTTCCCTAGAAGTAAGGCCCTGGGGCTGCTATCCCCAGCTTCCATGGTAGAGGAGAAGGGAATAGGACAGAGGCTATACCAGTTGGCTGAGAGATCTCAGCCCCTCTTCCTTCTTCCCTGTGCTTTCTTCTTGGTGAGAATCTGAGAAAGGGTCCTTGGAGTGCCATGAGTGAAACACAATTGTCTCACTTAACCAGTTTCCAATACTGCAGACATAATTGGCTGCCTTGTTTGCCCAGGCACTGATTTTCCTAGGAAGGGTAGACTTGCTACACGTTCCTGTCCACTCAAATGCCAGAACTTCTTGTGGGCAAACCCACATCTCTTCTGTAACAGTTTAGAGCCATCATTTGTAGGTGCTATAGCTCTTTCTGTGGCTTGACAGTTGAGGGAATTGCACATTCCTGGGCACCTACTGTGTGTCAGTGCTGGCTGACTGGGCTCTCACCAGATCTTATTTATTTTAACTTAGAGCAGCCTGTGAACAGTGTGTTGCTGCTTGTTGTACTGTGGGGGAGGAGGGAAGGTGAGATGCAGAAAGGTGCAGCATCTCACCTGACCTGTGAGCCCCCCCACTACTTAAGTTGCAGAGCCAGAACTGCAGTGTTGGAGATGCTCAGCCCTGTACAGTGTCAGGATTTCCTCTTCTGTTTATGGCTCTTTGCCAATTTGATCCCTTGGAGTGTTGATGGTATTTTGATAACTTTAATTAACCTTTAACCTTGTCAAAGATAGCTCTTAACTGTGATTTTTTTGGGAGGGGGTCGGGGTTGTATTTTTCTTTCAGTTAAGATAGTATAACCAGGCATGATGGTGCAAGTCTGTAAATCCAGTGACTTAGGAGGCTGAGGCATTAGGATCCCAAGTTGAAGGCCAGTCTCAGCCACTTAGTGAGGCCCAAAGCAACTTAGATCCTATCTATCTCAGAAATTAAAAAGGGCTGGGGACATAGCTCAGTGGTTAAGTGCCCCTATACCCTCTACTCCCCTCCCCCGCCCCCACAAAAAAAAAATATGACTTTCAAATTTATGTATGTTTGAATATACCCGCATCTTCCTTTGTGAATCCTGTTATTCATAACAACTTGAGGGGTTTTCCCAGATCAGGGAACATAGAGATAGTGTGCAGTGGCCTTGCCTTAGGGGAACACGTGGCTGTGGACTTAGGATAGAAGTTCAGAGCACTGAGCCTTGCACAGACTTGCACCATTTTATACCTGGTGAAATGATTCCCAGATCCTTTTGGAAGGTGAACTGAGTATTTGCTCTATAGGTTTAAGGAATATTTTATTTTTTGTAGTGCCTATGAATTTCACTTTTGTGTCTATCTCTAATTTTGTCTGTATGTTTATCCTGGTGTAGTATAGTATAGTTTTCTAAGAAAAATTGATAATCAATTAGTACAACACTGGGATTAAATAATCCTTCCTACTCACTGGGTCATATTTCATGTTTTTATATAGTTCAGTCTATTTCTGAATTCTGCTTTTCAATTCATTCCTTTACTTTTCTATTTTTGCACCTGTGCTATGCTGTCTGAGCAGCTCCTTCAGTTTCTAGGAGGGAGGGAGAGAGGGAGGATACTCCCCTCCCACTTTTCTGCCTTTAATGAATTTGCTTCTATCTTGGCACTGACTCCTGAACTTTCAAAAGCTAAGATAACAGCCCTGGCTGCCACTGTTCCTTCACTACTGCAGAGCCTCAGCCTCACCCGGATGATAGCAAAAGGCCTCTGGGCCAGGTGCCTATTCAGTGCTTTCTTCCAAGGCCTTTGGTGGAGCTGGGACCAGAATACAGGAATGTCTTGAGTGCAAAGTTCTGTCTTCATTCTGTTCTACTCTGGAGTGTGGATTTCAGTGTGCTATCTGAATTCTTAGGGTTTTTTTTTTTTTTTTGGTACTGGAGATTTAACCCAGGGATGTTTAACCACTGAGTCACTTCCCCAGCCCTTTTTATTTTTTATTTTTGAGACAGGGTCTCACTAAGTTGCTTATGGCCTTGCTAATTTGGTGAGGCTGGTTTTGAACTTGTGATCTTCCTGTCTCGGCCTTCCAAGCCTCTGGGATTACTGGTATGTGTCAATGCACCTGGCTGAATTCTTAGCTGTGACATTTTCAAGACAAACAAAAGGTAACCTGACACAGGTTAGGATTGGCAGTCTGCTGTGGGCTCTTCTCCAGGATGTTTCATGTATCCTACCATCCCTCACTTTAGGCCAGAGCACTTTGGACATGGCCTTGGATATGTATGTGGCACCAGTGCTTTTGACTTTTCTTGTTCTAGTTTTGATCTTTGTGGTTCCATTACTGGTGGTTTATCATCACTGAGCTATCCTCTCAACCTGGGTTTTATAACCCTATAGTAGCCATTCTAAACTAGGCAGAACCCTCTTTGGGGCCCACAGATTGCAGCTCTGCCACGGGGTAGCAGTAGGATCCTGGGCCCACTTTTAAGTCTCTTGGCACCTGGTTTCCACTGTGGAAAAGGGTTGGCCTGTCCTGCCTATGAGGTAAGTGTGGCTGTGCTTACGGCAAGACATGGCCAGCTCAGGCCTGGTTGTGCAGTGTCACTACAGATGGTCTATGTAATTCTTTTTGCTATTTTTCTGTCCTAATGAAGATATCTTGATTTTTGTGCTGCCTAGTAATGAGTAGAACCTTAACTTATTTGTGGGTTGTGAATTCATATACTTTTTAAAAAATTTAAAATTTGTTAAAATTCTAGTTTCATAAACATTTGACAGTGGTATCCTATTTGTCATTTGCCCCCCTGAATTAGCTTTGTGTAATTGTGACAAAATACCTGAGATAACAACTTATGAGAAAGAAAGGTTTATTTTGGCCCGTAGTTTCAGGTTTCAGTTCACGGTCACTTGGCTCTGTTGCTTTGGGCCTGGGTAGCATGGTACATCCTGGCAGGAGTACATGGTGGAAGAGGCTTCTTCCCCTCAAGGCAGCCAGGAAGTAAGAAGAGCAATAGGAAGGGTCCCAATATCGTCTTCAAGGCACACTCCTAGTGACCCAAATTCCTCCCATTGAGCCCTAAGGAATGAGTGCCACAAGGAATCCAATATGAGCTGGGAAGTAGCTCAGCAAGGCAACTTTACCTCTACCAGGAGGGCGTGCTCTGGAGTCTGGCTAATAAGCCCGCTTAGGTGGGCAGTCCTCCAGTTTTATCCCTAATGCTGCACTGCCCCTTGCTCTGACAGGAGGAGTTCAGGGTTATAGTCTACACAACTGGCTAATTTTAAGATTGGGGTGGGCAAAGGGAAGGACTATAGTTAAAATGGCTATGATTGGATCTTACCTCCCAGTTAAGGCTAAGCACTCTAGTAGTAGTATGGTTAACGGACCTCTGGACTTTCTGTTTCTCACTGCCCTGCCTCCCAAAGGTGCCACCACTTCCCCAAAGTGCCATAGTTTGTAGACCAACTTTTCAACACATAGACCTCTGGGGACATTCAAATCCAAATTATAGTATACTCCCTGACCCCCAAATAAAAAAGAAAACTTCCTCCCTGCCTAGCACAGTTCTCAGGTTCCCAGCACTGTCCTGAGTATCAGAGATGTGACTGGTGGGGTGACAATGATGAAGATAATGATTTTTGCTTTAGATATATGCTTTGTTTGGGTTATTTTCTGATATGATAGTGCATGTTAACATTCTTGATGTGGTTGGTTCTGAATCAAAATTTGGTTATGTGGTACTCTTTGCATGGCATCCACCTTTAGAAGGGATGTCCTAGTAGTGAGCTGTGTCTGAGGAATGGCATCTGTGGGTCTTATGTCCACTTTCCTGATTTCTGTGTCTTGTGTTCTTCTAGTTTCTCCTTGGACCAAGATGACTGATGGAAACCTTTCCACTTCCACAAATGGCATAGCCTTGATGGACATTCTGGATGCTCATCAGGGAAAACCCCTTCAGAACCTGCAGCAAGTGAATGCCAAGGGGTCCAGATCCCTCTCAACACCTGAGTACGGGCCCAAGTTGAAACTTGGTGCTTCAGAAGACCGGCACAGCCTTCAGTCAGTGGACTCTGGCATTCCTACCTTGGAGGTTGGCAACCCAGAACCTGTCCCCTGTAGTGTGGCCCTTGTGAAGAGGAAGCAGTTGGAGTCAGAGCTTGTCCCTGAGCGGGCCTTCCAGAGTGCATGCCCGCTACCATCCTGCACACCTCTGGTTCCCACCAGTGCAGAGCGTGAGCAGACTGTGCGGAAGTCCTCCACATTTCCCAGGACAGGCTATGACTCAGTGAAGCTCTATAGTCCCACCTCCAAAACCCTGAACCGTAGTGATGATGTCTCCATCTGTAGTGTGTCTAGTCTTGGCACAGAACTGTCCACTACGCTGTCTGTCAGCAATGAGGACATCTTGGACCTCATGGTCACGAGCAGCTCCAGTGCCATTGTGACCCTGGAGAATGACGATGACCCACAGTTTACTGATGTCACCCTGAGCTCCATCAAGGAGAGCAGTGACCTGCACCAGCAGGGCTGGGCTGATGGAACCGAGGAGGGGAGTAAACTGAGGATACTGGCACCATTTAGTAGCTTCTTTACAAGGTAATGCTGTCTGTGTCACTGTGGAGGAGCTGGACTGAAGACCTGTCGCCTTGTTCTGGTGTAATGTGTGTCATGTGTCCTGGTTGAGCAGGTGCTGTGTCCTGCAGACAGCCATGCCTTGCCCAGCAGCATGGGAGTCATGTGGGTCAGATCTGCTGGTGACTCTATCATTCGTTCCTCCCTGTGTCCTTGGCTTCACTTGCATTCTCTGTCACTTTTTGGTCTCTGGCCTGTTGTAGCTCTGGGTAACTCATAGGTGGTCATTATCACCAAATCAGCAGCTATAGTTTGATAGCCTTAGGCTCTGAAGGGCCCTTATCTAATGACTTGTTTTTGGGGTCACATGGTGACTGCAGATGAAGTGACATCAGTAGTAATAACTCACATTTCTAACACTGTGCCCTCTGGCAGAGATCAGGCTGGTCTATCTGGGTGTCCCAGTTGTGGTCCTGTTCTTGTGCTTATGCCCTGGCCTGGTCCTGCTGCCACTGCACTGCAGTCACATGCGTTCCCTTCTGTGTTGAGTCTGGCCTATATACCCACTTTGTGGCACCCTGTCCCCAGTTACCACACAGGCCTCCTGGTGTGTCTGTTGTCCCCAAAGTCCTAGGAATTGGCTACTTCGGCTACTGCCTCTTGCTTGTGCTCTCATGCTTTTGTTCAGGAAGCATCTGTGTTTGAGGCCCTGTTCTAGGTGGGTTGTGTGGGGTAATATGCGATTGAAATACCTCAGGTCATGAGGTTATTTCTATTGCACATTATCCCACACGAACCCATGTGGCTGCAGTGCAGTGACAGCAGGACCAGGCCAGGGCATAAGCACCAGAACAGGACCACAACTGGAAAACCCAGATAGACCAGCCTGGTCTCTGCCAGAGGGCACAGTGTTAGAAATGTGAGTTATTACTACTGATGTCACTTCATCTGCAGTCACCATGTGACCCCCAAAACAAGTGGACACATCAGTCAGTCACAGAAGCAAGTATGATCTCCCAAACTCTGGAGTGCTGTACAGAAGGGCATGGAACCAGGAGAGAGTGTGCAGGACTGCCAGCAGCTTCACAGCTGCTTTTCGGGGGCCTCTGGGCCCAAAGCTTCACAGCTGGAAGCACTTGTGGCCACCCTGGCTGTGCACATGCTCCTGGCGAAGCCCATGTTGGACCTTTGCTGAACTGGGTGATGTGCTGGCTGGAGTCAGCTGGAGGTGTCTGACTGGGCACACAGTCATTATTGCTGCCTCAGTTGCTTCATCAGCTACATGCAGGACATTGGATGAGTCTAAGACCAGCCCTGAGTGATTTTAGCCACCTTTTTTTCCTCTGATGTGCTGACAGGTATCCTGCTGCTCTAGTAGAGTCTCTGGTCTCAGAATTTGGTAACTTGGTGATTGCGCTCAGTGAGTGGGGTCCTTGAACCGTGGGGGACTCTTGTCAGCATCCCCTCCGAGGCAGGTGCCATGCTGTGGTGGTGTGATTTTCATTGGTGGGCTGTTTTTAGCTTTCCCCATTTATGAATACCATAGGTGCCTGTTAAGTGTGGCTCTCAGGGGAAAGGGCCTGGAAAACAGGCCTCCACAGTCCCCTGGGGTCCTTAGGCTATCTAGGAACACTTACTTGAAATGGGTGGTAAGAGAAAGAGCTCGGCTTTGGAATTCAACAGACTGAACCTACAACCTAGCTGTGTGACCTTGAACAAGTTATTTTACCTCTCTAGTCGTTTTCTCATCCCTAACATAGCATTATTAAGAGCCTAGCACAGAATGCCTGTCACATGTTGATTCTGCTCTGCCCTTACCCTTGTTGTCCCCTACATTACTGTGCCCAGGACTTGGCTTCTCCACCTGGGGGTGGGATTAAGTGGGTTAATGTGCAAGTTTGTTGTGGATCCTGACACATGGAAGGCTTTACCTATCTGTCACTTGGGATGATTATGGCTGTGCCCTGCTCCTCTGTCCTGAAGGACCCGAGTTGTCTGTTGGAACCTCTTCCCTTTTGAGGGAAGCTCTAGCAATTATACAATTTCTAGATCCTTTCCAAAGCTGCTGTTTCTTGAAAACCTTCCTCAGGTGTGGGCCACAGAAAACAGTGTGTCCTCTTTATTTTATTCCTTGGTTGCTGTTTCCTCATCCTTGATTTGATGGCTGTGACATTGTTACTGACAGCCAGGCTAAAGTGCTTTTGGGAGCATGTGGAATATGGCAACAATGAGTCAATAAGTGATACTGTGTACAGGTTCTAGAGGGTGTTTGTCCTGGGGTCTCAGTGTTAGAGAGGATCTTCAGCCTAGAGTGACTTTGAAGGAGGGGGTTCTTGGCCTATCATATGTAGAGCCTACTGAACATTTGTAGGTGAGTAAGTGGAGTTACAGAGAATGCTCCAGAGCCTGCCCCAGGCTTGGCCTGCAGCAGGAGCACAGGAGAGTGTGGACTATGTCAGTCTTTGTGGAGAGCAGGGCCAGGGCTGGAGCTGGTCTTCTATGGACCCCAGGCCTTAGACATCTGCCTCTCCTCCTGGCCCCTTGCCCCTGCTTTCTGTTCTCTTCCTCCTTGGTATCTATGCCATAGAAAGACATGTGGGTGGTGTTGTGGGAGGCTGGTCTAGGAGAACATAGTTTAGAGGAAGAGGTGAAGATGGTCAGGGAGCTTGTGACTGGAGGGAGCAGAGCTTGATGAAGTGACCTGAGTGAGATAGGAACAGAGGAGTGACAGGGCGACTGGCTGGGCCTGACCACTGTCCTGCAGAAGCCACAGGCCCAGCTGCCATTTATTCTTCCTTCTCCACACTGTAACAAACACCTCTGAGCCAGACTCTACCCTGAGCTGTAGAGGGAGTCCTGGTCCTTATGCAGCTAGCAGTCCAGTGGGGGAAACAGACCAGCAGCTGGGGGCAAGGCTGGGGGTGGCACTGCAGTCAGGAGTGCTGGTTCAGGGCTCACACCAGCTGGGCCTCACTAGAGCTCTCCTCCTTAATCGCTGTGTGACCTTGGGCAAGTTACCTCTCTGAGCCTACTGTGCAGGGTTAGAGACCAAGTAGGCTAAACATCTGCATTCCTGGCCCTCTTCCAGCAGCAGCTGTCTGTGATGCTAAGTCTGCATGGTTTGGTTTTGTTTCCTAAAGCTTTCTCTAGTTCCTAATCCTAGATCATGCTGAAGGTCAACCCATTGCCAAGTTAAGTTAGTGCAGGACCTCTCCAATGGCGCATGGTTGACATTTTGGGACAGATGCTCCCTGTTGTGGGCGGCTGACCTGTGCACTGAAAGATGTGTCACAGTATCCCTGACCTCTGCCCACTGGATGCCAGTGGCTCTCCCTGCACAAGATGCCCAGACATGTCTCCTCCAGGCATTGCCAGATGTTTGGGGCAGGAGGTGGGAAGCTTGCAGAATCGCACAGCTTTTGAGACCACAGAGCTAGCAGGTTGTGACTGTTGATGTTGAATTGCTTCCTCGAAGGAAATTTTCTAATGTAATTTGAGCAGGGTCCTCCTCTTGTTAGGAAGGGAGGGACTGGGCTGAGGGATTCCCATGAACCCAGTGTGGTATTTGTCTAGAAACCCCACAGCTAGTGAGTGAGGAGGTGGGAGCTCACTAGTGGTGTGCTTCCTTTCCTCAGGAGCCAGGTTGGCTTCCGTGGATCTGCATTGATCTAGGAGGCATTGATTAGCTTTGGTCACATATGTCTCCATTCATATAGTCCTTTATTAGTTCGCAGAGCTGGTTATGGAGGCTCCTTTGCTGGGGGAGAATGTTTAACCTGAGGTTGGAGAACGTGGGGAGCTTGCCAAAAGAAGGCTTCTGTGGGGGCAGGAGGACAGCCTGACCGTGTGAGGCACCTGCTTCCTGCATCTCTGAGAACCCTTCTGAGTTATAATTTAAAGACAGAGGTGGGAGAGTGTCAGTTGAGAGCTGGGCTGCTCAGCTCTAAGTCTGATCCTCAGATCTGCCATTTTATACTGTGTGACCTTAAGAAAGTTACTTAACCTCTCTAGGCTTCAGTATGCACTTGGGTGACACAGGGCCATTTACACCTATCATAAAGAGCTAATGTGAGGGTTAAATGGGAAAATACACGTAAACCTCCAGAATACCACATAACCTGTGTGCAGGCTAGATTTCATGCTGTTCTCTGTTTTTGTTGGTTTCATGCACACACACCCTTTCCCCTTGTGCTGGAGATTGAACCCAGGAATGCTCTATCCTTTCTATTTTTAATTTTGAGACAGTCTTGCTGATTTGCCCAGGCTAGCCTTAAACTTGTGATCTTCAGTGGCTGGGATCACAGGTGTGTGCCACTGCTTCTGGCTTTTTTTCTTTTGGTATTAGGGATTCAACCCAGGGGCATTTAACCACAGAGCCCCATCCCCAGCCCTTTTTTAAACTTTTTAAAAAATTTGAGGTAGAATCTCGCAAAGTTGCTTAGAGCTTTGCTAAGTTGCTGATGCTGGCTTTGAACTTGGGATCCTCCTGCCTCAGTTTCCCAAGCTGCACTGTACCTGGCTTCTTTTATTTATTTATTTATTTTAATTCTGCTGTATGAAAATTTTGCAACCACTGGCTTAAGAAAATTCTTCAGGTGGGAACTTTGACTTGGTATGAAAGTGCTGAACCAGCTTTAGTTTCTCTATGGATCTAGGGTTTCAGGATCTGATCCTTTGGAGGGTGAGAGCAGCATGAGGAGGACAAGCCTGTTGCTTGTTGAGGAGTGAGTTAGTTTATCACGAGGGGTATACTGTCAAGACACGGCTGGACTGTGTCATTGGCACAGGCAGCATTTAGTGTGTCTGCTTTTACACAGCTGCCTTCTTTAAGCTTTGCAGCCTTAGGAGGTGGCGTGGGGTGGGATTCTGTGGCTGGCTCATCTTCCTTCCAGGCCACTTTCCTTCCAGTGAGTCTTTCCTGGACTGCAGCAGCTGGGCAGCAAATGTCTATTACTGGAGCTTCTTGCAGCTGAACGTGAATTAGCACCATCAAATTCTCCCACTTGTGAGAGATTTGTGGCAGA